GGGGGGCCCCCCTGGAAGGGGGGGCCCCGGGGCAACCGCCCCCTTTGCCCCTTCTCCCCCCCCCCCCCCCCCCGGTCTTGTTCCATACCTTCGCGGCTCCGACGAATTCCATATGAATGGGTCCAGGAGGGAGTTGCCGCTGGAGAGAGCGACGTGTCGCGAGAAGGGTCAGCCCCTCTGCATGGACCAGTATTACCGCGTGTTCACGACGTATCGAATCCCCGGGAGGGACCTCGACGTCCAGCGGTCCACATTCACCGACGAACCGCCGGAGAGCGAACACATCATCGTCGCTTCGAGGAACCAGGTTGAAATTCCGTCTCCCCGAATCCGTCGGCCGTTCCATCGTCGATCGACGGATCCATTCACGCCCTCGTCGGTTCGACGGAAAGAGAAATGGACGGGTTGCATGTATTTCGTGGATCGTCGACCGACCGACCGTCGTCATGAAAGCTCTTCCCGTCCATTTCTCTCCCGCAAAACCACAGGATACAAAAGGCAATCATTCATTCCGGTGATGATTTCAAAACACTCGCGGCTCAATTAATTTATTTTAAAACTCTAATGAAAGGTTTTCACTCGATCCCATGGGGGCAAATGACGCAATGTGCCTTTTCTCATCATTCTTCCACGCTCCATTTAGCAAGACGCTTTTCGTCCCTTTCTTTGCTTAAAATAAAAAGTTTTCGTAAAAATCAAAAGTTCCTTTCTTTCCTCCAGCCTCAAGACTTTTCTGATTTCAGTCGAGAACTTTCTATTTTGATTAATTGATCCGTCGGTGCGATGGAACGAGCTGCCGTCAATATTTAGCTTCACCCTCTGCGATGATCATTTAATTTATGTGGAACCTGCCTGGGTCACGTACTCGAGTGCACAGTGTAGAGTTTGGGTCACCTTTTCCACGATTCCCTGTTTGGTTCGTCTGCACGATTCCCCATTCGGTTCATCTGCGCGATTCCCCATTTGGTTGATCCGATTCCCTTCTGCGTCGGAGGTACGCCGGTGATTTCCAGGAATCCTCTCTCGCCCGAGCGGATGCTCCGATGCGATCCGTTGTTTTTTTTTCGTTCCCCAAGTTTTTCAGCCTGAACGTGAAGATCGGCGGGGAGAAGGCGGGGATCGAAGGGATTTCGGAGGCGTTGATGAGGATCATCCGGGAGTCGCAGGAAGACCCGGATCCGGATCCGCCCGTCGGAATTTTAACCACTCGGAGTCGACCCGAGTGGGCCGCCGATCGAGAGAAACTCATCCCAGGTACTCTTTTTTTCCCGAAGACCTCGCTTTCGGTGACTTTCGGAAGCGGAATGCGGTAACGCGATCCGGGGTGGCATTGCAGAAAACGAGGAGGCGTTGGAGCTGATCGAGACGTGTCTGTTCGTGGTCTGCTTCGATGCGATCCCGCCGGGGATCCGAGACGACGTGAACGCGGCCGAGCAGATGCTTCACGGTTCCGGTTCCACGGTCAACAGCGGGAATCGCTGGTTCGACAAAACCGCCCAGGTTCGATTCCGGTCGCTCGAGGATCCGCCCGATACCCTAAGATTTTTAAAACAAAAAAATTGCATAGGATTCTCATCGGACTCTTATTGGAATCCGATGAGAATTTTCTCCCATCCTATGGGGTTTTACCCGTACGGGTTCCCTTAGCATGCATTTTGGAACGAGGTTCTAAGCCGACCGTCGGGTTCCACCCTTCATGACGTCGAGTAACCGTCAACACATCGACTGCCCATCCCAATATGCTCCATCCCAACTCTGAGTATCTCTTGGCTGGGGCTTGCGAGAGGCCCACGCCTCATGTCGTATCGACCCCCAAGTCACCGGGGTACAGTGCTAAGGGAAAACGAACGAATCGGTTCAGTTAACTGGACACGAGCTTCCTGGTCTGGCCATTGACGACTGGTTAACTGGATACGGGCAGTCGACGCGTTAAAGTCGGCTCCATCTTCGCGTAAAAAGTACGACCGGAGCAGCCTTTCCTTTCCCTCGGTTTCTCGTCGGACGCTTGCCACGACCCCGGCGATGGGAAGTGACGTGTTCCTCCTCTCTCTCTCCCCGCTCGTCTAGTTCGTGTTCACCTCCGACGGAGTCTGGGGATTGTGCTACGAGCACTCGGCAGCAGAAGGAATCGCAGTCGTGAACGTCCTGGAAGACACGATCGCGGCGCTGGAAGACGGATATCGTCCTTCCGACGGGTGGAATTCCGACTCCCCTCGATTCCTTCCGCCGCAGAGGATCCGATGGAGACTCCACGACGATCTGAAAAAGGCCATCGAAATCGCATCTCTCGAAATGGACCGGTCAGTCCAACGACGAGTTCCGTACGTCCCGATTCGCGCGCGCACGCCGTAGAGCCGTAGAGCGAATACGAAGAAGCGGACCGTCACGAAAACGAACGACGGCAAATAGATGAGAGTCTTCGCGGTTTCGGCAGAAATTAATTTATCTATCTCTATCGGATCAAAGGGAGTTCCCAGCTTCCAAATTGGGAATCTGGAAGCTGGGAACTCCCTTTGATTAACCCTTTGAGTACTGTACCCACGCATGCACCTTTTTCATATTTAACCCTTGAGCGCTGCCATCACGTATTCGCTATTGCTCAGAGCTTACATAATTTGTCTCACGGAGTTCGACAACTTTTTGACGACGTGAGCCTATTCTCGGCAAAATAACTCGAGTCTGAGGGACGTGGTCGACTGTCTTCGACGCAATACTTAAAATGTCGATGATGCCATTCCCGATCGGCCGTCCTTCGCGTGCCCACGCGATGGAACGTGAGCATCATTTCCACCGTGGAAGGGCATTCTCCTCCCTCTTGACCCCTCGTGATGTCCTCCGCTTCCGCAGGTTGGTTTCCAACACGGACGTCAAGATCTTTCGCTACGAGGGGTACGGGAAAGAGTTTGCAAAGCAGCAGAAGACGAGTCCAGACGCCTTCATCCAATTGGCCCTTCAACTCGCCTACTATCGGTAACGAACATCACCCGAATCTTCCGTCTCCGGTCTCGGAGTATCACTTCTCAAAATCTCATCTCGGAAACGTATGGAGTCCTATAGGACTCTCGCGATCCCACGGGGCAGCGGCGGATCTCGACCCTTTGTTAGCGACCGCACATTTTTCGAGAAGCGAAAGTAGATGGCAGCACTGCGCGCATCCGAGGACCTCCATACGCACTCGTGTAGGGCTAATCATAAAGTATGGAAACAGGACCTATGGCACCGAGCATGACGATCGCATCGAGGAAATACACTACGTCGGCTACCGCGGGGCGGACCCGTGAGCAAGGCCATCGGCGAAATAGTCAAAATTCCATTTCTGGCAAAAGACCCTCCTCGGTACGAATGAGAGCCTGAACTAAGCCCGGTCGGGGAAAGTTTCCAGCAGGTCCTCGAGTCTTGCTTCGTGCCATCTTAATATGCACCTAATCGCACGAAAGACCAGAAGTATTGTGGGAGCCCGGCTAGACTCCCTCACCGAATGGCGCCAAATAACCACGCCCCATGACCACCCGTCGATCTGCCATCTTTCTATCGACTGATGCTCTTGACGGTAGACAGGTCTTCTATGCCTGCTGCCTGGCGTTCACATGATTACTAAGGCCCCCAGCGGCGTTACGTCATCGAGTCAGCGTTAGACGAGTGGGCCTTCACTTCTAGCAATATAGTGTACATTCAAACTCTTCTTTTTTTGTTCATTTCATTTTATTCGCGATACCTTTTCATTCTCTGGCTGCACGGAATACGAAGATACGGCTCAATATTTGAAGTATTCTGGGTCACCTCAAATATTGTGTCAGGGCCCTTCAAATATTGAATAAGCGTCAACTTAAATATTGCTCACCTGAACTTTCCTTTTATGCACCCGAAATAGGAGAAGGTAGACATACACGTGAGGCGGCAAAAGCAATCAGGATCTTCATTGCAGCAACAATATCGATGTTGACATTCTTCCTCCATAGACAGATCGGTTCATTGTGTCAATCATCGAAGTCGTCTCGTATTGCATTCTCCTGATACTCAATTCTAGTAAGAGAATTGACTGAAGAAAAACAATTTTCGGTATGAAAAAGCGAAAATTGTTTTTCTTCAGTCTGGAATATACGACCGGGAAAAGAAATGTGGGAATATATGGCTTGCCAGGAAGGAGAATCGCTGATGCAGCTGTAGCATGTAGCCGTGGCATTCGGGTCACATATCCCAACTAAATCTGAGATCTCTCCCACATCTCAGCATTTTAGATGAAGTTTTAGCTCGAGTCTAAATTTTTAACTAGAGAGAGACAGACTTTTCCTCTTAGGTCTGTGCTAAAACTAGTCTTAATCTAATCTAAAAATAGATTTAGACTCAGTTGAGCGTTTTAGGAGAGACAATAAACAAATTCGGTTGAATTTAACAGTATAGAAACTCTATAGGGTTCTCTAATTTTTTTATGGCTCAGAAGTCGTATGATTTAAAAAAAATTTTCATGGGATATTATTTTCGTTTCCCCCGTTGATTGTCTCCTCTATTTGCCCCGGATCCCGCGCAAGTTTAGTTTATGAGGTAAATATATCTTGCTCCCGCGTGCAGATGTGTCAATGTTGCGTGTTGGACAGGCTGCACGGACACTTGGTGTTCACGTACGAGAGCGCCTCGACGCGGCGTTTCCGTTACGGGAGAGTCGATAACATCCGTGCGTCGACGTGGGAAGCTCTGGAATTCGCCAAATCCATGCAACCCGATTCTACCTTCTCGGTGAGAATCTCCCTTTTTTTCCCCCTCGACGAAATCATCGACCCGAGAGACCGGCATTCTTTCTCGCATCGGTAGCTTTCAACGCCTCATCGAAATCGTAAATGCAGAAGAAACTCGGGCAGGAAATTTCACAAGGTAAAAAATCCGGGGTGAAAAAAATCGGCCTCATCGTCTCATTTCTCCCCCCCCCCCCCCCCCCCCCCCCCGTGGGGGGTGGGAGAAGGGGCAAAGGGGGCTGTTGCCCCGGGGCCCACTCTTCCAGGGGGGCCTCCCGAAGGAAATTAAAAACCTTAAATATTTGCGTAAAGTAGCGGGGTGTGGGGGGGCTCAAAAATGCACTTGCTCCGGGCCTCGAAACTTCTTAATCCGGCCCTTGTGTGGGACAGGGTTTCGTGGCAGGTATCCATCCATCTATCTTACTAAGGACAGTGGAGTTTGGTGGTCCTGTGACCCATCGGTCACAGGGCCACGGGCCTTGGGTCACCGGGGTCATTTTTTCATTCAAAGAATCTATTTGATTATTTTTAGGAGTTATTAAGTCTCCTGAGTTCGCCGGTGAAGTTCGTTATTCGATCGACCTTTCGTCTTTGAAAAGGTCAATATAAAAAACCAACGAGACTTTCAGCTAGTGTCCGTTCACGATTCGAGCTAAGGCCCGAATCGTTAATGAACATGAAGTAATGTGACAACCAAATTTGAATGGCTTTCCCATTCTTGAACCCCTCTCCCCTCCCTTTACGGGACTCACGAACGTTGGGCCTAGGCCCAACCGACAGACTGCCTTCAGGTTACGTCAAGGCCTACCTTTATTCTTTTCAAACTCGATTCTCGACTTATGGGGCCAATTAGTCCTACAATATAAGGGTGAATCCGTGGTCTTCGAGACATCTCGTCGAGGACGTATGACCAGGATGGTTCTGGAAGTTTCAGGGTTAAAATAAACCATCCCCAACACGGATATTTTAATTTAGATGTAGGGCTGCGTCTTCGAGTGAAGAGGGCGGATGTACAATCTCGAAACAAAAAATTTCGAGATTGAGGACAAGAATTCGTAAAATGAGATTGAGAATTAAGGAATGAGAAAGCTGAGAGTCTCAGATCTTGTGAAAAGTCTATTTCCTATATTTATTATTTATTCGCCAAAAATCATTCGTCGGTTTCTAGAAAAGGGAGGGAATCCTTGCTTTTCTAGAAAATGTCAAAATTTAGTAGACGTCCTTCGGTCAGATCGTCCACGATAATCTTTACTTAAATAAAAGAACATGCAGGGATTCCTTTCATCGGCACAAAATTCACTGAAACCTGGGGTCCGTTCCTCGCCTGTGCCAAACTTAAATCTAAATCTAAATCTAAATCTTAGGCTAAATCTTAGTCTAAATTGTCAGGGCGAAGAATAGACTTTTTGCTTTTAGACCGCTTTTAGACTGCTTTTAGATTTAGATTTAGATTTAGATTTAAGTTTAGCACAGGCAAGGAACAGGACCCAGGACTTTCAATCGATAGGACGATTTTAAGTCACCGGCTCGTCGTTGTCATGCACGCGTATGTAATAGGGGAAAGACCTGCATTCCCTCACAGATCCCGACGAAGATGGAGAGCTTCATGTTATACGGGCCGGTGGTGGAAGACGGCTACGGAACGTCTTATAACCCTCGCCCGAACGACATCGTCTTCTGCATCTCCTCCTTCAAATCCTGCTCGAAAACGTCGAGCGAGCGATTCCAATGCGCTTTGAAGGACGCTCTCGACGACATCCGCCTCCTCCTTGGATCCGACTGAATTCTTTCACTCTTTCGTCTTCGTTCGTTTTCTGGTGCATTTCGGTGCACGGTCGTGGTGCACTTCGTCCTAGCACAAGTATCTGTTAGCTGTGATGGATTTCCGTGGAATTTTAGGTGCATGCAATCCAATTCTCACCGGTGAGATGACGAGATCCTAAGTGGCAACGTTAACCGATGGCTGGACCCGGATATCGAATTCTAAGTCTTTATGACGAGACTAATTCTTTAGTTATGCTTTCTCAAAACACTCGGAGTTGTTGCGTTTGTAAAAGTCTATCGGATGGGGAAATGCGCTTCACGACGAAGTCGTGATGTTGAAATGTGACAGTTTTAGGAAACCTCCGATTCTGCATCGTGTTACGTGTCAGTATTTTAGACGTGTTCACCGGAAACGGTCGTTATGAGATGTTATTAAGTGTTGACTGGCTCGACACGCGCACAATCGACGTCCTGTACATCGGACACACGTGACCGAGTGGATAAGGGATCAAACACAAAAGTATGTTCCCCTGGTATTATTTCTCGTTTCCAATCGTCTTGCTTGAAGTCGTTCGCCCGATGAGTATATTAGGCGCAAAAACGTCAACTCGCATGTTAACCCTTACATCCAATGATACGCTCAGAATTGATGCAAATGCGGCAGCATTTGGTGGACATTAGACGGTGAAATAGGGAAGAAAAACCAGCGACCATTTCAACGCAGTTAAGCTTCTTTCTTGATGGAACCATCTAGGTTCTTATCTTTTCCGAGAGTGATTTCCTAGTTGTCTGAATCGAGCGAGGTATTTCATTTTCTGCTGCTCATCGGAATCTCCTTCACTTCTCAATAACTTTTTTTCATGGAAAAGTTAAGAATACCGTCGATGGTGACGGTAGAATCCTCGAATCACTCCGAAGAGTGGTTTCAATTCGGGCAACGGTCAAATTATACGTACGGAATGGTTATGATGAACGCTGGAGATGATGATTCCTCGTGATTGAGACATGCATGGCACATGATCCAAATGTGAGAACGTCGCTATCGGTATCGTAAAGTTGTCGTTTGAATATTTTATTGAAGTTTCCCGTCTCGATGTCAGCTTTTAGAGGGAAAAAAGTAGTAGAGATGCCTTGAGAAGGAAAGAGAATTACATGGAGAGGAAAGCGATGAGTAGATATAGCATTCCGTGGATTAGAAGTCGCAAAGAGATAGTGCAAGTCATATTAGTGTCATCGTGTCGTCCCGCTAGTGATCTAGTTTCATTCGAGTAGGAATGAATGTGACATGAAGTTCGTCGAGTTTGGGACGGTCGTGGATCGCCCCGGAGTCGAAGGCGGGCTTCAGCTTCGGAAGGTGGAACACGCATCGCCGCTCCTCAAACCTCATTGTCTCCAACTCAATCTGTAAACGATGGCAATTCTAATGCGCAATAAATGTTATTTTTTAGTTAAAAAGGTGAATAAAATTCATTTTAGCATGGATTCGAGGGAAAAGCTGCTCGTCGAATGAAGGGCGTCCGTCGTGTCCGAAAGAGGCGGATCTGCTAATTGAGAGCTGGAAGACGTCGGAAGTCAACGATGGACACCAGATACAGATTTCAATTTTAGTTCACCACGAGAGTACGTCGAAGCAGATGAATCGAGGTTCTGTCCAAAGCGAAAGCCGACGTATATCTGACCGGTATCAAGAAATCCCTCATTCGGCCTGTTTGGTTTTGTGCGGAGAAAATACCTCGTATCAGAATGATTTCATGAGGCCGAAATTTGCCAGAATTTTTCATTTCGAACGAAGATACCAGTTGTAAGATTTGGATTAGCAGTCTACACGGTTTCCTGACTTTCCCGATCGCCGTATCCTCTCACCCCTTGGGCTCGGTCTCGACATACACCTTAAGAATTAGATAATCTTTTCTTGATCATTCCGCACGATCGATCGATGCCCATCGGTCGGTACTCGTGCCTCTTTTCTCGGGAATCACGATCCTTCGGTTGACTCTTCTTTCCTTCTGTCTCAGATCCGTTCTCGATCGAAAGGGCGAATCCCAGATTCTCTGATGATTCTCAAAAATGTTAGGATCGAATGTCATACGACAAAGGGTTCTTCGAGGCGAACCAGAAGAGTCCTCTGGTTCCCCTTCCTTTTTCGGCAAAATCTTCCGAAACTTCTCGCTGATGTTACTCGTATGCGTAAAACAAAAGGGAACGTTATCCCCTCTCTCTCGTGCTTCGAGTCCTGGAGCAAATCGGGAAAGAGATCCTCCCCATCCTTCTCGTCTTCCCGATCCTCCCCGTCCTTCGATCTGTCTCGCACTGCGATCGCTCGAGGATCCCATAACAAACCGAAACGAGATCTCTCGCACGACCACCCACATCCAATATACCATACAAAATTGATGAATTCACGATCGACCCACGCCGATAGGTCTCTAGATGAAGGACCCATCCATTCTACCCACTCCACCCACTCCTTCTCCGCGTATGGCAGAGGCTGGAGCCAACGAGCGCTGCGAACGTCAGCCGGCATAAAATAGTTTGCGAAGCACATAAACGCATACCATTAGGCAGCGCACGCGTGCACGTTGCTTCCAACTCGGTCTTCTTGTACGATAGAGATGTATGGTCGAGGGAATTTTAAGTCCACGAAAAGGTTTTACTTTTTTATTGCTCTAATTCATGTCACCCAATGACTTAATTGCGTGTAATTAATTACTTATGCTGCGAAGTACTATTTCCGTTCTAACCAAGCACGATTTTATAAGATTTCGCTCATCCCACGTATCATTCACCTCATCATTCCTGTTGCAACCCAGGGATTACACATGCCGATATACGGCATATTTCCAATGCAGTGTCTCAAAAATATGAACTTCAATGATCTAGCATACAGAGATATGTTGTTCGTCGGTGTCGAGTCTTGTTTCATCAGAAAGGGAACAGAAGATTTACACTGTGCACTAGCTTCCCAGGCAAAAATGTCATAGAGAGACCTATAGACTTCTATAGAGCTTTCAATGTAGTTTTATAGAATTCATTAAACCACTCATTGCATCTGGATAGGACTATATACAGATTTATATAGTAAGATATAGGGGCTAGAAACTGCGCAAACGGGAAGGATACCATCACGTGGGTAAACAGTGGCGGCGAGTGGACGAAAATCTGGAGTGACCAGCACGCCATCACAAAGAACATTGTTGTAACTATGGGAGCATGAAGTACGAAAGGTGTGTTTAGGTCGGTCTTGTCGCCTGCACTGCTTCAAGTGGCAGGTAGTTGCAATAAAAGGCTGAACGTTCCGTGTCGGCAGTTTATATCGAATCGAAAACATGTAAAAGGAGAATGGAAATTGAAGATCCTTGGAACACTCGAAGAGTAGAGGTGCATCCGGTCCGAGGAGAAAATTATCGGTCCCACGACTTACACCCCTTGCAAGTTTCGGGACTTCTAAAAAAAACGCGTCTAGCTCATTTATAATGATCACGAAGACGATTCTTTTTTTTCATTCGTGGAAAATCCATAGATACATATTGGCAATGCGGATTAGGATGACCGAGCAGCTTTCTAATTTCGGCAAAGGAACCTAAAGACGAGGCGGTGTACTTGTTAGCAGTCGGCCGTTCGTGCGCGATGCAACCGATGAGGCCGGCCTCCCTGCTATCGTACGTATACTTCTGTATTGCATGATGAGCGACACCACGTGATGTCCCTCGTCCATTGCCTATGAGCTAGTGTAGGGCTCGAGGCTCTGGCCTCCCATCAGGGAGGCCAGATCGAGACGTTTCGATTCGTCCAGTTTCTCCTATTCCAAAGTTCATTTTTATTTTACAGCCTCATCCCAGTCGTCGCAGCTCTTTCCTATTGCACCACTCGGGACGGAAGGACTCTCCGATGCACGATCCCCATGAGGATTTCCAGCAGGTCACAACCATGACCTGTGTCATATCCCTCCACCACCATATGCCAATGCTTTCACAAGTTCATCATAAATTAATCGGATACGAGCCTTCTAAAAGGCCCTTCGCATTCTGTAAAATTAATGATGACCTTCGTACGAGCTGATGTCGAATAAAAAAAGGTTACCTTTAATTATTTATCTTTTCCTCTGGGAACCCTATTTGCATCGACTAATTTTCCAAGAAATTGGATGGGATTTCACTAGATTTTTACACGCTGATGACAGAAGTTCGTGAAATTCAATATCAATTCTGTACACTTTCTAGACAGTGACGCAAAGGAATGTCATACAGCCCTATAGAAATTCTGTTGAATTTCTTAACATTGTCTTCGTAAAATTCTCTAGAAATTTGGTAAGATAGGATTTCTATAGAATCTCCAAAGAATTTCCATACTATGATTTAATAGAATTCTATATAGAGAAATAATATAACTATATACGACCTTATATAATTTTTTATTTAGAGAGTCTATCGAGTATTTTTGCTTGGGTTAGATGTTGAAAACGTGAACCACCGGCAGCCAGGCAGGCATTGCAGCGGCGAACAACAGAGCGACAAGTGCCAAACCAAGAACATGAAACAGACGAAAACCGAGAACGTTAGGCAAGTAGACCTATTCAAAGCTGTGGGAATCAGCAAAAAGGAATTGCAAAGACCAACAGCTAAGATGATAGTCTCTTTTCCTTAGGTCAAAGTTATTGGGCATATCGCATTGTACAGTAGATCTTTCGAAGAGCTACCCCCCCCCCCCCCTACTCCCTCCCTTCCTCCCCCTCCAAAGCAAAAATCTTCTGAAGACTCTCAATAGAAAAAAAGCAAGAATTCTATACCAACCTATTATATTTGTTCACTCTTATTGAACTATATTAACCCATTGAGTGGCATGGCCGTACTACTACGGCCGTGAGCTCCCAGTCCTGCAGGAGTGTGGCCGTACCGGTACGTCCTGCATCTTCAAATTCAAAATGAAACATTTCTATAGAGCCGTCAGTTTGAGCTTAAATGTGGAGGTTTCTGAATATGTCTCGTCTTATTCAGTACTGCCATCTTCAAGTTAATACAGATAGCAACAGAGAAAAAACTAAATACTAACTTTGGTGCAGTTCGTGAAAGGTTTTCAGTGGGACTCTCTCACTGACAGATGCCCATTCCATTTCGAAAATTAAGCGGACAGAGGTGTGCTCTCGATTTTCAATGACAAATCTGGAAAGCCCTGGAACTAGCAATAAACTGTTGACAAAAAGTCTCACGTGTAAGGTGTTGGTGGACAAGAAGCGGTTTGTACCAAGAGTACATGACGAACTCCCTCACAGGAAATGAGAAGGAAAAGGGGGTTGAATCAATTACTTCTTCTGCATTTCACCTCTTTTATTTATCAATTCCGTCTCGGAACTTTTCTTTGATTTCGTCTTATTTCTTAGCGGGAGGCAGGGGCAGTAGGCAGTTTCTTCTGCATGGACATTCCGATGGCTACAGCAATTCCCTACTGTAGAGATGTGAAAATCATGATACATATGGAATTCAATGTATAGAATAAAACCTGAATAGGAATGAAAATTAATAAGGTAATTTACTTTCATTTGAAGATGTAATAAGATGCCGCTACACACTTGGAGAAAGAATCTGGTAGGTGAAAAGCTACTTCCGTTTACTTTTTGCTTTTCTATTTCTCATTTCTAGGTAGTAACATTTTTTCAAAAAAAATTAATTAATTATCACGTTTTATTTCTAACAATTCATTAATGTTTTATAATAATAATACCACACCCTGAAGCACTACTGATTACCCAAGATCACTAATGTTGAAGTAAAGTTATTTCGACATACTTCCGAGGGAAAAACTGTTTACGCTCATAAAAGCAAAAAATTCTGAGCTGGAGCCTATCCGCAAAAAAAACTCACCCCTGGCCAGTCAGAAAAAAACTCACCGCTCAATGTGTTAAACTACTGGATGGAAAATCATGGAGAATCTGTAGAAATCCTATCAAGAATCTTATCAAATTTCTATAGAATTCTACGAAGACACTGTTTTTCCATCAAATTTCTCTGTAAAAAAATAGTATATCCCGATAGTGCTCCCAAAGGAAACGATAAAGAATCAAAGGTAGCATTTTTTCTTAGACCGTACTAAGGCCTTCTGGAATTTTATAGAATGTGAAGTACCTTTGAGAAGGCTCATTTCCGATGAATTTATGATGAACTTGTGAGAGCATTGGCATATGCTGGTGAAGGGACATGGCTTCGATCGTAGTTGCGAACTGCTGGAAGTCCTCGTGGGGGGAGGGGGGGGGGGTCATGCATCGGAGAATCATTCCATCTCGAGCGATGCAATTTTAAAGAGGTCGGATGCTGCACCGACTGGGATTTGACTGCAAAAAAATCCTGCGTACTTTGGGATATGAGAAACTGGGCAAACCAAAGCGTCTCTATCTGGCCTCCCAGGTGGGAGGCCAGAGCCTTGAGGCCTTCCCCGGCTCATTTGCAATGGATAAGGGTATCACATTGCGCACGCAATACAGAAGTATACGATAGCAGCGAGGCCGGCCTCACCGGATGCATTGCGGGTGACTGCTAGCAAGCACTGGTCTAGGTTTGTCTTCTTTGAAGTTCCTTTCCCGAAATTAGAAAGCTGCTTGGTCATCCGAATCCGCCTTGCCGGATTGTATGTCTTGTATCCATGCAGTTTCCACGAATGGAAGACACTTGATCTTGATAGTCTTCACGATCCTAATATTTGGTAGATGAGCTTGATGCGATTTTGTTTAGAAGTCCTGAAACTCGCAAGAGTAAATCGTGGGACGATACTTTTCTCCTCGGACCGGATGCACCTCTACTCTTCAAGTGTTCCATAGAAGTTTCAATTTCCGCTCTACTTTTACACGTTTTCTCGCTTAGCCTTTCATTGGTCTTACCTGCCACTTGAAGCAGTGCGACTCATCAGGTGGCAAGACTGACCTAAACACACCTTTCGTTCTTCATGCTTCTAATGTTACAACAATAATTTCTTGCTCGTTATGAAGTTGATGAACTGGCCACCCCAGATTTTTTGTCCACTCACCCCCACTGAGCAGATCCACGTGTCAGTATCCTTCACCTTGCGCGGTTTCGAGCCCCTTACCGACGAACACCCTAATCTGCATAGAATCCTATCCAGGTGCAAGGACTGGTCCATCGAATTCTGTAGAACTACATAGAAAACTCTATAGAAGTCTTTAGGTTACTCTACAAAATTTTTGCCTGGGCTCTTAGGGTGTGTGCGTTCGCTTTCCCAGTCGATCGTTTCCATGTTCACCATGTGACACATCAGGTCTCCCCTTTCATCTCGGGGAGTCACATCCCCGCATATAACACTTGAGACTCGTTTCCTTCCTGCCCTTTGAGGGATCGTGACTCCAGGGGGCGTGAGACGCGGGATCGGAGGTGGATCGGGGATCGGGACCCCATTCCTGCACAGATCCGAAGCGCGTGGATCCCTTAGACCCCCTTCCTTGCACCCGTTCCTTTAATTTTTCACCCAAGGGCCTGCACGAACGGTCACGAAGACGTTCCTATGAAGGCACACGAATGCGACCTTCTATGGATAATGAACGAAAGTTTCAGGAATTCCGAATAGGCCACTGCCAGCGCTCAGGAATTCACTGGTTATTTTTTTACGCACCCGATCGATACGGAAACGAGGTTGGGAAACTTCCACATGGGACGTGTGTCTTCAATCAATCGCGGCTTCACACAATCATGAAGCAAAGGTGATGGGAGGGGACTTGAGAGTGCACAGAAGGCGCAAGACAGTCTGGCGTGTGCAACATGTATGATTCTCGACGAATGCAGAAATCCTAAAAATGGGATTGTGGCTAAGGAGTTCTTAGATACACAATGCACGCGTATCCCAAGCGAAAGAATATGGAAACGACGAAAGGCCATGGAGCCCCAGGGGTGAAATCACCAAGCCGCTCTTCCTGAAGGAACATTTCAAATGAATCGAGCTCTACCAATGAGCAGATCGAGATCATTTCGCCTCCTTCGCATCTGCGTGACGCTAACGGAAGTCTCGATAATCTGTCCGCTTCTCAAAGATCTCTAAATCGCCGACCCGCAAAGAAAGGAATTTTTGCAGTCTGCGTTCGAAGAAAGGTTTTCGTCTCGAGACGGCTCGACGGACGAAGAAAGCATATATACTATCGAGGAAGACGAGTCGTCCATGTACGGGATAAACAACGGGGGAGGGTCCAAAAATATCCGGATTTATTTGATGTCTCCAGAACCCCTGCAGATATCGAAACGATACCTGGCACACGATGTAAACAATGTCTGTATGCGAAGCGGATGCCGCATGGTATACGATCGCGGCAGTAGATGGCACCACTTAATAGGGCGAAAACGAGGCGATGCGAGCGCACGGGTGGAGCTGGAGAGAAAGAGAAAATGGACTTCCCTGTGGAACGATGCGTGATCGTTAGATTCCTGGTAAAGGAACACGAGATGGCCATTAATACATAACGACGATTACGGGACTTTTGAGGGGGCACGAGTAGGACCGAAGCGTAAGGCCCATAAGACCCCATGCACCCAGAAGGCCATCCGAAAGTTGGGGATGGACAGTGTTGTCGAATCAGGTATGAAATCCGAATCCCGCATCATCCGATCCTCGTCTCTTCGGTGCCACGAAACGGAACTCTCGCGTGGCCATCGCTACGAAATGATGGACGCCGTGAAAACCGCTCTTCGCAGACGGATACGTAACACTCCACCTTTTTTTTTTTCACGAGGGTACCTCTAAACTCGTACCGAGATGGCAGCATTGCTTTGTGAACGATGGTCACTTCCTGAAAAGTAATGCATCGATTCGTACGTTAACTAATTGTTACGTCAATATCTGTAGTGTTTCTGAAGTTATCGGACGAATGAGGATATATATGTATTTTTTTTTACCGTCTTTCGTTAATTGGCCTTTCTGCAGAAGTTTGGAGACTACTGGGAAAAAAACCTCTCGTCGATTAAGGAGCCGGATGGAAGCCTTTCTTCTATGGGAGAAGAAAGGCTTCCATCCGGCTTAGTTTTCCCTCTCGTTCCCTGCGGAGGAACGAAGCTCGAGCGAAACCGAGACGAGAGACGAATGCCTTGTCGAAACAGAATCGTTGGTGGTCCATGCTTCTGGTCGCGATGGGAGTGCTCGCTTTCCGTTTTCCATCCCCGGGTCAATCACTGGAGGAAACGAAGAACATCCTTTTTGGAAAACTTCGCGGGGAATCACCCAGTATCGGAAATTAAATATGAGGATACTTTCTTGGGGATTTTTCCTGTCGCCAGGGGTATCAGAGGAGGTGATGAAAAAATAAATAAAATAAATCGAGGACGGTCGAGTGATAACGTTTGGGTGACTGCAATTTTCTACCTCACGCCGTTGAGAAATCATTGAGGTAGAACGAGTCGCATTTCCTCGAAATGAAGTGCATTAGGTCTGGGGATAATGATACCAGCGAATCCCTAAATTGCACGAGGGCGTCTTAATTTGTAGGGATCGAGAAATTAAATGAAAAATGATGTAATTTTAAAAATATTTAAATCCATTCTGCATTCACGCTCGAATACTGTAGTTTACAGGGTGTTAAGAAAGTTGTTTCCCACTGCAATATGCCAATAACCTCAGCAAAAATTAAAAAATCAGGAAATTTTTAAAATACACAATAACAAGGACAGTTAACTGATTTAGAATCACTTAATAGTTTTAAATATAGCCGCCCTTGGCACGGATGACAAGGCTCAGACCACCCATGAAAGCATTGACTGATTTTCGCCAGACTTCCTGTGGAATTCGCTCCGATTCTTGGTTCAGGGATAGCTTGAGAGAATGCTACACCGGATGCGGATCGGCTCGGAAAGACCGACCCGACCACCAATTCAGTCGTGGGGTTGAAAGCAATCGGACGGGTCGGGTCCGTAAAGATGACCGAGTTTCGGATCGAGGAAGTCGGTTTCGCCTCATATTGGGATAGGGGGAGCGGCACCAGTTCGCGAACAGGGAGCCAGTTAGCGAACGAGGGTTACGAAATGCGATTTGGCCTTTTGTTACTCTAGTTTCACTCTTCATCCCAAGCATTAATTAATCAATCAATCCATTTTCTGCAGATACCAAAAGCTGGAGCGTGTAACTCGAGAAACAAAAGACCAAATCGCATTTCATGACCCTCGTTCGCTAACTGGATCCCTGTTCGCAAACTGGTGCCGCTCCCCTATAGCTGTAAACAAGATAATGGCTACTGGAGTTCATGAGAAGCTGGTAAATCCGAAATTTTACTTGTCGAGCTGTCTACGTAGGGTAGGTGATACAAATTCCTACCCTCTTAAGCTCAAAATCCGCCCCCTCACCTACGTTTGAAATAATTTTTTATTGGATCCATGCCAATCGATAGGAAAATCCACACACTGCCCATTCACGTTTAGAGACCAAGCATCGGTGTAATTTGGTCGAAAAAGGTCTGTTTGTACTTCTGATTACGTTGAAATATGTAGCGTGGGGGCGGACTTTATAGCAGGGTCGGAATTTGTATCACCCACCCTAACTTGCCCCTCTCATGGAGGCGAAGGGTAAATGACCTCTTGGATAACCCCCCCCCCCCCCCCCCCAACTGCTCAAACTAAAATGCTGGCTACTAGCACATTTTTTAAATGTAAATCAGGACATTCTAATTTACTAAATTAGCTATTCTGCCCAAATTATGAAGGAAGATGCAATTTTTTCAATAGAAAAAACCATTCAACCTATAAAAAAGAATGATGGGGAGAGCTGGTCCAGTCTAATCAGGTCTGGGGACAAGAAAGCAAGAAAAAAGTCCCAGGAGGGGGCTTCTTTAACTGGAGAAAAGTGAGATGCCAAACGATACACTTTGTCCTGCCATCTCACGCTCCCCGTTTCCTACATTCTTGTCGTGTGACTTTTCCCGACAGCTAGCGGTTGGGACCATCTCAACCGCATCCGACTGGTCTGGAAAGGGTACGGTACGCGATCCTGAATGGGTGCGTCGTTGAGCGAGCTGGACATAGCGGCATAGAGAAAGTCAGGTTTCGGCACCTCCAAGGCCGAAGGGGAAAAAACGATGCGAGTGGGAATATCAGGGAATTTCAGTTTCTCCTGCCATAAAACCTAGCTACGCCACTGGTTCATCCATCGTTTCATCTGACAAGCAAGACTGAGAGCGACCTTCTCCGATCGTTTCCTACATTATGAAAGTTCATATTAAAATGGAAACCTGTTTGAGTAAAATGAGAAAATGCCAAACTCCACTGAATTTATCGTATTCGTGCATGCATAGAATTTATTACGCCACCTCGCACCAGAACCGCCGCCACTGGCTTGCAACATGGTCGCCTGCATCCGTCCACGTGAAAGTGGGACTTGATTGAAACCCATGGTTTCCTTGCCTCACCTTCATTCTCACCTTCTTCAGACTTGAAGTTTAGAGTTAGTCATATCATATGTATGTGAGTGATCTCCCCTGGTCAGCTCGGAGAGAGCTGAGTCGCATTCTCGATGCGGATAATGAATCCTGGAAGTTTTTAGGTGAGCAGTCTGACATTACACTTAATGTAGGCCTATTGTTAGACCTTTGGGCCTATGTCCTGGCCTACTAGAGCCTGTTATAATTTTGGTAAATTCACTTGGACTTACTGTCAGTGTTACCTTATGACAACCAAAGGGCTAATTGGCAATTCAACTACTTGGGAATACAATGGGCAAAATTTACTAGTAAATGCAAACATAACATATGGTAGCTCTTGATGGCAAGAAAGGCCAAATTATTGCTGAAACACCTACTATGGCAACAGACTAGTAACAGCTAGGCCTAGCAATATGCCTGTCTTCATCTTGAGAGGACAAATAAAGGAGAACCTGTATACACAGGGCAAACTGCCTTGTGTCTAGTCATTGCCAAGGCCTCATTTTTGGGTAGGCTAAAAGATTCCCTGAGAGCCTTAACCCATGAAAACCTAGTGCAATGTTTTAGATGTCTAAGAATCTTGCTACCTTGTGTAAAGACAGTTGGTCATAATCTTAAAGCCTCTAAGTCAGGTGCCCAAAGTGCGGCCCACGGGCCGCATCCAGCACACAAAGTGCCTTAGAGAACATCCACTTTGAGCACCCCTGCTCTAAGTCTTAATTATTTTGTGCAGGTGAGAAAATGGGGTTTGATTTTCGAACCATCCAAGAAATCCAGGGATGCAGCAGACGTAGCCCAGATGTTCTCCCCACCATGATATTGCTGGAGAAATGGAGCTTCCAGAACCACACAGTTGAGGAGCTCTTTGTCCTTTTCTCCAAAATGCAAAATTATGAGGCCATGAGGATAATACAGAGATTTGGTAAGGAAGTCACTTTTATCTTCTTGAGTGTCATGCAAGATATAGGAATGATACTGCCATGTGAGAAATGATCAAAAACAGTTCCAGAGAGGTATCATCCAATGATCCACGAAGGAGAGCGGCGTATTACAAATATACTCCACAAGAAGACCCAGGGAGCCATTGTAGCCATGGATCCATCCCTCCCATCTTTCTCTACCTTCTCTGCTTCTCCCCCCTCTTGTTCTTTTGTATGTCAGTTTTTGATACTATGTGTTACTCATATCATCCTAAGCATGCATCAGGAAGGCATTGGAAAGAATTTCATCTATGCTGCTGTGCACAGACAAGCACAGCCTGTTTTATATGCTATACTCCCAAGTCAAAGATGGCAAAGTCATGAAAGATGTGACTATTACACACAAGGAGCATTCATTTTATCTAAAACTATCCACAGAATAACTGGGAAGAAATCAAATTGATGGTTTAACTGGGATTGCATTGGAAATGCAGGCAAGCTGTATGATGTGATTTCCTGTATGCCAGTGCCAGTGCAGACATCATGTGGGGAAAAAACTAGGGAACTAGGTCCTATTTGAACTAGCAATGGGAGCAATTTATACTATAACCCCCCCTGACATTTATGGTCTGCTTAGAGCATAAGTACTGGAGAGGGAAGAGAATATTGAGCATTTCCTATCAGGTCTTGGACTCTGTTCTGGAGAATCTCTTTCTTCTCAAGTCTTTTAAAAATGTAGGGACTTTTCTTTTAAAAGATACAGCATGATGACACTGCAATAAGAATGCTTTCATAACAAGCAGGTTTTTTTTGCAAAAAATGGGATGAACCTATAGAGTGCTGCCAAAACCTCTGCCTCCCAATTTGTGGAAAAGTGAATTTTCTCATCAAAGTTCTTTGTCCAAGCAGCCTAAAGACTTTAAAACTTTCATGATACAAATTTTAGAGTATTTTCTGTATGATACAAAAGGCTCACAAATCTGGCATTTTTGGCATAAGTTTAATGAGATCTCAAGCAATAACTTTTTTTGTGCTTCCCAGTATAATGTTTTTATTTGTTTAAAATTCAGAGAAAATAAATTAGTGACATTGCACAAAGTATCTTCTCTAAACTTGAAGCATTTAGTCCCTTTGCTTTTGGTCTTAAGCCTAGAAATGTATTAAATCCATGAAAATGTCCTCAAGTTTTTATCTAAACTTGTTACCTGTCAGAGTCCTCTCTTTTGTTACTATTTGCCACGCAAATAGGTACTTGCGACTCCTTGTGTAGTCTGAATTTTGAAATGGACCAGAAAATTCAAGGGAAAATACCTATTGTAGTTTGTAGAAACCCTAAGTAGCCTTTAGTTTAATCTTGCTTTTATGATAAGTTATGTTTTGCATCCTAATGAGTTTATTTCTTTGCTTTTCTTGCAGGCTAGAGGAGCACAGTTAACATCCCTGAGAGAACCACAGGTATGCATTTTGTTTCCCCTCTTTCAAAGGCATGCATAAATTCTTAGATGGCTGCTACTTCTGCCATGGTATCATTCTGCCTATCTTTCCTCTTTAGGCATCAATAGATGCAGTCAATTTCAATGCTCCTGGGTCCAAGGGTCACCTCCCAAACAAGGATATGACCTTCCCCAATGTTCCCATCAGCAGATCCTCCAATGAGTGAGAACTAATCATTTGTGCCTTCCTCAATTAGTCACCCCAGTGCAAAAATATTTCAATGCAAATTTAAATCAATTGGAGATCTCTGGAAGTAGATAATTCATAGGTGCTAATATATTTATTTTTCAATGCACAAGACTAATGAACAGTATGACTAATGCATTAGACACACAGATTGGACATGCAGCCTGTATAGTCCATTGGGATTGATGGCTCCAATGATGGCTCCAATTGGGTTACCATGCAGTTCTTTTCAAGTTTATGATGGAGAATGACGTCGTCAGTGATTCTTTGTTGGATAATTATCTTATTGTAGTTGAGACTTTTGTCACTAGTTCAGCTTTCTGAAGAAGTCTTCAGTCATGAATAGCTTAGGTAAGGTGATACTTCCTGGCCTGACTTCCCTCTTGATGGTAATTTTTTAATTGCTTTCCTAGTGTCAGAGTGATATTTCCTTTCTGATAGCTCTTGGATTGTAAATGCTTGTGTGATGACTCCTGTCTCATTAGAATCAAGTGCTTTTTTGTTGCCATAGGGTTCACCAAATATCAAGACTCTGGGTACTATCTGGAAAAGAATGAGAATAGAAATCATAGACTACCATACCAAAAAGATTCAAGAAGTCATTGAAATAAACAGAAGCTTCAAGATAGTCAAAAAGAAGCTAGTTAAAACTTCTCTTACTTATCCTCAGAAAAAAAGATGAAATCATCAGAAAGAACAAAATGGAATAATTAAAAAAAGAGTTTACATTAACTCCATAGTGAGAAAGTTCTGATGCAATAGGAAGAATGCACCTTAAGAGATGAAAATGATTGTGAATTTTCCATGATTCCACCTAAATAATTAAAATTCACTCCCATCAAGATGAAGAGAAGGGAAAAGGCAAGGCTCAGGCAGACATTCTGAAGGAAACAGAACCCTGAGCACAAAAAGAGATTGGCTCTGCTTAGTCCATCATCACCATTGAACAAAAAATTTTCCAATTCTGGAATGATGCAACAAGTATTCCTTTGGTTATTAGATAAGGCTGACCTGAAAACTATGGACCCATCAGCCTTTATTATGTGTACAAGCTCTTCTTCAAGTTGCTCTTCACTTGAATGGCATATCTCAGGTGCCAGGGAAACAAAAGGGATTCAGTATTGTATTCTTCAATATTGACCATGTTCATACAAATATACATGGCATTGAGTAGATTTAATTTTTAATCCTATTGGCAAAATTGATATACTTAGCAATACTCCTCTAGACATGTAAGCTCTTGATAATTATTCATATGCCATGAATGATTGAGTTTTGTATTATTGTTGTATTGATGTTTATGTGGTACATGAAGGGGTAGAAAAGCTTGAAAAGGGCTGTTTTGAAAGTATTTATATTGACATGGTTATTAATTGAGATCTATAGGAAACTAAATAATTAACTATCAGTATATGCATCAGAAAATTTGGACTCTGGCATTTAAAAAATTCAAGTTCATATCTCCATGTTTGCATCGATGTTTACAAGACCTTGATGGTCCATTGGGTGAATTTCAGGGTTCCAGATAGAACCAAACCAGATGCAGCTGACGTATCCAACCCTTCTGACAGCAATTGTAAGTTCATAAGAATCTTTCATTTTGCTATATATTCTCTCCATATAGCAATAAGCATGCTACCAGATTTAGATGACCCACAGAAGTTACAATGATAGGTCACTGCTTCCCTGACTCCATTTGACAATATTGATTCATTGAGTAATTTGTGGTCTTCAATTAGGATTGGAAAGGTGCATCCATTTTCTGTGTTTTCTTAAAGTTTCCTTAGTTTCCCTAAAATTTTCTTCTTGAATGGGCAAGGTTTCCACAAGCCTGGAAAAGTCAGGGAAATGGGAATGGGGTTAAAGAGTTCAGAAAATTGCATCTGTTTATGAAAGTCAAAGGAATAATCAAAATTACATCATCATTTATGATGGCATGAGGAAGGTGTAAATCACATGTAAGGCACAAAGATCTGGGATATCATCCATGATCTTTGTCAAGAACTTTGTTATTTTGATCTTTGTCAAGTTTTTCCTCTTCTCACCTCTATTATTAGATGCTTATGTGTGCCCAGTTTGAATTTAACCTCATCTGAGAGCACAAAAACACTCACATATCCACCACTTGTTCAACTCAGACCTTTGCATCTAAGTATATGAGAAAAATGCTGCTTGGTTCAATCTAAATTTTTTTTCCTTTCCTCATCAGCTGGTGGTTCTCACAGCCCAAGCATTGAAGCTTCACTTCTCCACATTCCATATTCAGAGTTAGTTGTAGCCACAGATTCCTTTGCCCCAGAGCACATCTTGGGTCGTGGAGGCTTTGGCATTGTATACAAGGGAGTATGGAAACATAGCATCATAGCCATCAAAAAGATTGATCCTGTGAGTCTATACTACACTATGGCATCAACTGCATCCTATTCAGAATTAGGAAGATTTCATGAAAAAAATATTACCCTTTTGTATCAATACTCGAAATGATTAGCAAAAGCCCCTGTATGATTGAATGTAGGCTTGAACAAAGAATCTTATTTGCATGCCTATGAGATATCAAAAGTAGCTTATCACTTTAAATAAATTTTAGCAGCCAGAGTAGTTATTTGAAATTGGCTTAACTACATTGTGATGAATTCAGATATTCTTTATAATCACATAAAGCATCTGCAACTGTGTTGAAAAGCTCATTTAGTAGACCCTTCATTAAAAAAAATTCTATATATCACACTCTGTTGATAAATGTCCAATTGTATTTGATGGATCTGTTTTGCTTTTCTTTTTTCAGAAAAATTCCAGTGCAACATCTACATCTCAGCCACATCTGACTCATTCCCTGGTGGAGCTAAGGTTATTGAATCAATTCAGACATGACAACATTCTTCCCCTTTATGGCTATAGCATAGACAGGGATCCCTGCATTGTGTACCAATTCATGCCCAATGGATCCTTGGAAGATAAGCTCTTATGCAAGGTATCCCATTGATAAATTCTTTTTTCTATCATTTTCAGTTCTGCATAACCTATGCAGAACTACTTTATATTTCCCTGTAGCTGAATATTGACAGCCTTCCATGAGGGCTCTGCTGGATAAGCCTAGATGGTATTTTTAAGGGTGAGGTATGCAATTGGGCTGGAATGGGCTATTTTCAAAAATTCAGAAGAGATACTGATGTGTTTTAGTTTTATCGTTTGTGTTCAGCAAGAAAGCTTTGTTTTTCTGGTCCAATGTGACCTACCTCACATAAACCCTTTTTTTAACCTCTTAAGTGTATGACACATATATACATCATGGGGAAATGCTCACTTGGTTTCACATATGTATATGTCACACAATTTGATTTGAATATGAACTTGAAATTTGAATACAGACTCAAAAAGAGTAGTTAATTTATATGCACAAACATACAAGGGTCCATCAAATGAAAACCAGAAAATCGCAGCATAAAATAATTCCCTATTGATGGATGTCCATAACTTCCAGTGTATGTTTGCAGAGATTGTGTGAAGATCTGTCATAACTGGCAACCAGAAAGAACAGAGCAATTGCTCAAGCAACAAGGTGCTCACAGCGCCTTGTGTGTCCAAGGAAACTGGGCATGCTGTAATTCAATTTCTGACTGCTGAAGGTGTGCTACCCATTGAAAACCATTCCTGAATGAGTGTTGTTGACACCAATAGCTTTTTACCACAGAGGCATGCGTACAAGTGATGCAAACGTTTCCAAAGTGGGCATGAAAGTTTGAAGAATGACTCACACTGAGGTCAGGTCAGGTCATTTGACCCTCGTATATTATTACTCTGATGGAAAAATGTCCTCACTACAAGGTAAACTTCTGTCTGAGAAATTCCCCTCTTAAGAGGTTAAATGGTGCAATTAGAATAACTAGAAATTTAAGTACTCTTAAACCATGGACTATAGAGTTTGTGATGATGTCTAATTGTTGAACAGCATGAGCAGAGCCCACTTGGCTGGCTATTGAGAGCTGAGATTGCCTTAGGTGTTGCTCGAGGACTGCAGTTCCTCCATTCCTTCAAACCCAAGCCTCTAATTCATGGGGATGTGAAAAGGTGTGTGGTTTTTTCGCATTTTGTTGAATAAGGACCCTAAAAATGCCTCCTCTTGAATGTAACGATTGTATGGCAGTGCAAATATCCTGCTTGATGGATCATTCATTCCCAAACTGGGGGACTTTGGGCTGGCCAAGGAAGGTCCAGATGGAAACCAGGGGACCCACATGACAGTATCTCGAGTCCACGGGACACGGCCCTACCTACCCGAGGAATACCTCCGCTCCAAACACCTCTCAGATAAAGTTGATGTCTATAGCTATGGAATTGTAGGTTGACAGCTGTTCTGTTTCCCTCATTGGCATGATTTGCACCCCCTAAATGCTTGAGTTCATTATGCTTCTTTCAGGTCCTGTTTGAACTTGGAACAGGGCTCAGAGCATACCAAGAAATGAGAAAAACTCTAAGATTCTTGGTAAGATCCTCCTTTATGCTAACATAAAAAAAAATCCATTCTGTCAAGTTGAATTGTTATGTTGGTGGAAACTTTGAGCAGTTTCAAAGACCTGGTTGCTGTTCACTTTCGCATTACTTCAGGTTTTCTTTTATTCTATTATTATGGACCATTCTCCTGACAATCTTAAATGCCTACCCTAAAGGTAGCAGAATACTGAAATATGTAGGAAGAGATGGGCTAATGCAGATCATCAGGGATGTACTAAGCACCACCTTTCACAGTCAAATAGATGGTGGTTTTGGGCAAGGCAAGTGATTGTTGTGAAAGGGATTCATGTGGAAACCCATGCACCTCTGCTGGTGTAAGAGACAGAGTTGAGCCAGTATTCCTCATAAATATTTTTCATATTTTTTAAATTCAAGATATGCATATGAGTAGAAGTGATTGGAGCACATGGAAGCTTGGTTTTGAGACAGATGCTATCCACAGTACTTTTCATGATTCTTTGTTCCTATATACACCTTGGAAATTCATGATAGGATATGGTGACTTTAGTTATTATACTAAGTCAGTGTTTCCCAAACTGTGTGCTGCCAGAAAGGCTTAGGTGTGCTGTGAGATTTGAGAGTTGACAAAAAAAAAACGAAAAACCTAAAACTAAAAAAACTTAAAAACAAGAGGGAAAGTCGTCTCTCAGTGGAAAACGAGCTTAGAGTTGCACTATCACGCCTCGTATCGAACTGCTGTGTACAGGGTGCGTAAGAAGTTCTGTTACAAACGTTTCTTTGCCAAAAACAACCAAAGCAACTAGAACGACAACTTCAAGTGATAATTTATTTAGTACAAAGTGTCAGTCAATGTTAGGAACCATAGCTACTCGAAATGTCCGCCACGTTTGGAAATGCAAGCCTTCAATCGAGGGCGGAAAGCGCGTACTGCAGCACGCAGCTGATGCTGTGGAATATTCTTCCATTCTCGGACCAAAGACTTTTTAAGGGCTTCGATGTTGCGGTGGGCACTAGCCCCAACTCTTGTCTCCAAAATGGACCAAATAGAAAAATCCAGAGGGTTCAGGTCAGGGGAGCTGGGAGGCCATTGGTCCTTCGTAATGAAGTCCGAAATTTCATGATGAAGCCATGCTTGGGAAATGTTGGAAGTGTGTGCTGGCGCACCGTCTTGCTGAAATGTCCAAGCCTGGTTGCTGAACATGGTTTGACCCGCATGTTTCACTACTGGGTCTAGAATGAGATCTTTGTACATTGTACTGTTTATCTTGACCCCTTCAGGAACGAAAACCAGATTGGTGCGACTGTTGGCAGACACACCTGCCCAAACCATAACAGACTGGGGGTGTTGTGAATGAGGTACGATTAGCATATCGCCCGAGACATCTGAGACCCGTGGTGCGAGAATCCGATCATTTTGTCGATTGGAGACGGCCTGGATGGTGAACAATTTTTCATCTGAAAACAGGATTTTGTCCACATCATCAGCCGTGAACCGCTGCAGCAGGGCCTTGCTTCGTTGAAGTCGCAACTGCCTTGTGCGAGGTGGCAGCAGTTGCGCATGCTTGCGTTTGAGAGATTTCAGATGAAGATGTTTCTTGACAATAGTTCTCATGGATCCCTCTGATATGTGCATTTCCCTGGCCATCTTCCTCATGGAACGCCTGAGGTTCCGTTGAATTCGGAGAGCCACCTTTTTCACCATCTCTGGAGCCGTAGCAGACCTTGGGCGTCCACTTCTCTCACGATCCTGGATAGAGTGGGTCTGCTGATATCGTTTAATGGTGCGATGAATGAACGTACGATTCGTGCCTTGGCCTGAGAGGTCTTTGAATATCTCTGGTGGTGTTTTTCCGCTGAGATGAAGCTCAATGATGGCTGCACGTTGTGCATTCATTTTGGCACAAAAAATGATAGGAACTGATGAGACCATTGCTTCATCTGCAACTTTAAGCTACATGTCCATACAAGTCACACGCCCATAGGCTAGTAAAAGATTCTACCCGGGAGACATTCTATGTGAGTCCAAAGTTTGTAACAGAACTTCTTACGCACCCTGTACAGCGAAGCAAGCACAAGTTTCCCATTGAAAGTAAGTAAATGGCTGGGTGTGCCGTGGAAAGTTCAAGTGTCATGTGTGCCGCAAATAAAAATAGATTTGGAACCACTGTACTAAGTGTACCTGCATGAAGCAACTTGCGCATTCTGTCATTTTGATACATAGCGATAACATTTAACTTTTAAACGTAATACAATCAGAGCGTGCCTTATGAACGGTGGATAAAGGCGAGTTTAGTCTTCGAAGTAAATAAAGTGGAGCAATTTGTATGCAGACTGCTTACGGTACAAGAGACAATGGGAGACTTGTTTTATATTTACAGCATAAAAATTATGAAGGATGAGCAGTGAATCTGCATCCAGTGAAGTCGCTGAGAGAAGAAATGGTCGCATGCTCTGCCTGTTTTGGTGGACGCGAGGGCACAATGTTGGGCCGTATGAATAAAACGCGAGCCCTAGCTCATTCTTAGGAGTCGAAGCTTGAACTGAGTCTCAGATTTCCTTTCGTATCTAGTGAATAAACTTTCATTTCAACTTCTAGTAAATCGAATTATTCGTGAGGGCGGTGAACACGACAAACGGTGTTGCGATAAGCCCGAGACAGTAGTCTGATGATAGCTCTCCCTCTTATCTCCCCTTAATCTTAATGGATTATTACTTCCAGTATGTATTTTTGTGCGTTGGAAATAAATTGCATGCTGTCTTAACTTGCAGGGCTTAATGTCTCTTACCTGTCTCTTACAGACCATAGCTAAAACTCAAAATCGCCGTCGGATGATTATGACAAAGAAGTTTCCAGAGAAATACAGTCAGGGCAATAACAAAGAACTTGAATTTGCTACAACTAGTAAAAGATATGGTTTGCACATTTATACCAATGAAATGGTCCGCTATCCACTGCACTTCCTCTTTGTCAAACCTACAGAGTTCTACAGTATATTCATTTCTCATGTCTCAGCGCTCCCCGTATTTTTTATTATTTATTAGTCTTCTTCCTATGATTAGTAATGTCATTACAGATCCATAGAGCCGAAACTAGACCTGGGCGTTGCACAGTGGTCCAGAGTGAGTGAAAACCTGGCCGAAAATATGTTATGTTGAGATGTCCGAAAGTGCATGGCAACACCGACAAAGCTACACTGCGTCTCGCAACTCTTAGGATAAGGGCCGTTCCAATGCAGAAAAAAGAGAAGAGATTCAGCAGCACTCGGTGAACTGAAAATGTTTTCTTGATTTTTCCACAGGTTATCGATAGTTGTGAATGTGCTTAAATCTCACATTGAACAACAATGGCTGAAGGCCAGGGAGGTGAGTATTGGTCCCTCCAAACCCTTAAGTTACTGTCGAGGAACGAAAATCTCCATAATGGACGGTAAATTAGTTTTCTTAGTTTTCAACCTCGATTTCTTTTGCAGGAGGCCGTGGATGACCGCAACAAAAACATATATGTATACTCCCTCACTACTAGTGTAGACATGTGACCCCCAATTAGCTGCGAGGATCCGCGAGTATGCTCACAATTACCGTTTTTTGACTCCTCCTTAGGTCCAGAAAACCTAACTCAGAGGGCATAGTCAGAGGGGATTGCGGGTATGCACCACTGAAAACTGATGTCCTAGAAATGTGCCTAAACTCTTAGAAAATTCCGAGCGTTTAGGGAGTAAAAAGTGAGCACACTGTGAACTTTTCAAATGTACTCTCTTATTACTCACCAAATGCTCCCTCATCGCTCGTATCGAAGTGAACATCTTGAAGTTCTTTGTCAGGCCACTACTGGTAGATGGAGGTAAAGGTCTCGTTTTTCACACAATACACGAAAGCTCCGTTCCCTCTTTCTCTGGAATCGTCCCTCACAGGATTGTTTTGTACCTCGACATACGAGGTCTGATCAAAAAGTTCCAGTACTTTTATTCATAAACTTTATTTCCAATAAGCACATTAAAATTAATTGTTGTCCCCTTCAAAGTATTCCCCCCTCGATGCTATGCACTTATCCCAACACTCCTGCAACTTCTGGAAGTAGTGCTGGAAGTCCTGAAGTCTTAAGCTGCCTCGTCGCATTTTTCTTGATGCTTGCAATGTCTTCACATATTTTTCCTTTCACGTGAAATTTAATCTTGGGGAACAGGAAAAAATCACACGGAGCCAGGTCCTGTGAACAGGGAGGGTGGGGCAACACAGGAATTTTGTTTTTTGGCCAAAACTCTCGAATTGTGAGAGCAGTGTGGGCTGGAGCATTGTCGTGATGCAGAAACCAGGCTTCAGTTTGGAAAAGTTGAGGCCGTTTTCTTCTAATTTTTTCTCGCAGACGGGTCAAAACATCTTTGCAATAAGCCTGGTCTGGCCTTGTGGGACAAACTCATGATGCATCAGGATCATGATGCATGATCGAAAATTCAACGAAGAGCACAGAGACGACTGAATTTCAACACTCGTGATTCGCGACTGGTTAATCCTAGCGCAAAGGTTTCAACATGTGTGCGGTTACCCCACTCCCACCTACACTAGTCCTAGCCCCCTACCCAAAGCGGTTTATTTTTTAACAAGAAAGTACTGGAACTTTTTGATCAGACCTCGTATGTCTCAACTAGTCTCATTATATGAATCAATAAATACGGACCTCATTTATTATCCGCATATTCAAGACAGATTCATATATCCCAGGCCATTAACAAGCTCATATTCCTGATGAGAACCCTTTTGAAACTCACAACGGTTTCATCCGCAGAGGAGATCTAGAATTCAGAGAAAGTCCATGAAATCAATCCTATCACTTCCTCGACTTGAGAGAATGAGGAAATGAAGGATTGACATCGCGGACACTTCATGGAACCGTAAGAGATGGTCCATCCTCTGACATATACTGTAATCAGTACAGTCAAAGGTAGGTCAATGCCTGAACTGTAGAGAGCGAAGCGACACAATGTAACGTTATATAAGGATTTGCGTATTTGCATGACATCCCTATCTCTTTCTGAGGGGAGCTTTTCACTCGTGAAGAAGGAAAGCAAATTTGCTCTCTTAGGCATTTCTTTACGCATCTCATTCCTTACGCGTATCAGAGGGGTTCTCAATAGGAATATGAGCTTGTTTATAGCCTGGACTCTATGAATATGTCTTGAATATGTGGATAACAAATGATGAAGTGTCCGTGTTTATTGATTCCTACAATGAGACGAGGCGAGACATATGTCGAGGTACTAAACAATCCTGCGAGGGACGATTCCAGGGAAAGAGGGAAGGGAACTTTTGTGTACTGTGCGAAAAGCGAGACCTTTACCTCCATCCAGTGGTCTGGCGAAGAACTTCAAGATGTTCACTTCAATACGAGCGATGAGGGAGCATTTGGTGATTAATAAGAGAGTAAATTTGAGAAGCTCACTTTTTACTCCCTAAACGCTCGGAATTTTCTAAGACTAAAGGGTGTCAGGCATTTTCGGCCAGGTGTTCACTCACTCTGGACCACTGTGCGTTGGGATGTCAGCACAGTTCACGTATCCACTACAAACTTCAGAGCAGATTCTGATTATAACGAGGTTTAGTTCAAGGGTTTTTTGCTATTAAGGGTATCCTCTGTATGGAGGAAAAGCTTCAACTTTGCGAACGTGTGGAATACGTACTCGAGCTTCAGCTCGGAATACATTTGTAATAGTCACCAGGAGTGAAGTTCACTGATTCTTATGTTTGAATGCTTTAATGCAACAGAGAGATATGAAAATCTGTCTCAGCGTCGAAAAGACCAATGCAAATGCTTCCTTCGCGAATAACCATCAATCTAGTCAGGAATGGTCTCAAGGAAATCAAATCAAATCAATTTTTGGTCCTCATATGCCCTGCTGCACATTTACACGTTGTCCTTTTCAAGAGTATAATTCGATGAACTGATGACATGGATCATGCTATATATGCTCCTTTTTCGGAATTTTCAGAACGAGCTCGTGGAGGCCTGCGTGGCGGAGGGAGATGGGAAGTTGGAGGGAATCCGAGATGAAAAGGGTGGGGTGGAACGAGGAGACCTCTTCATGCCTCTCATGCAATTGGGACTTAAGTGCACCCTTCGACGCAAGGATCAGCGACCAGACATCCTCACCGTCTTCCACCAACTTAACTCCCTTCTCCACCCCCCTCTGCAACATCATCCCACCTCACTACGTTGGTTCTCTTATGCATATCATGCTTCTTTAAAGCTGTACATCTATAACGTCATTGTTTGAGGTCCATCTGTTGTACAGGATGTTTCACTTGGGATTCGCTTGAGCGATGAACATGAACAATTGCAATAATTTTGGGTAGCACTACGTTAACAGTGGTACGAGGCGGAAACATGCTACATTAACTGCTAGTGGTGTTCCTTTACCGGGACAATTCTAAGTGGAACACCCTTTATCATCGTTAGACGTGCGGCTATCATGTCGGTAAAGATGCATCTAGCGCATCATTGAGGTGCAACTATTCCATCACTGTAAGTGCACCTATCGCATCTATAATCGCATTGCCTGTTTATGGAACGGGTACTCCATGCATGTGCACAATTATACGAGAGTGGATCCAAAAGTTTCATAATAAACGGCCGTATCTTGAATTTATTAAACTAATGGCATCATAACTTACCTTATTTTTCGACATACTTCCCCTCTACAGCACAAAATTTGGTCCAGCGATTTACCAGCCAAACAAAGCCTTTAGAAACAATTTGACAGTCTGGTCCAATCTTTCAGATCTTCTGTTAATTCGAATTTATTTCTTCGTATCTCTTCTTTCAGCTTCCCAAAAAAGGTAGAAGTCACTCGGGGAGAGATCCGGGCTATAAAGCGGATGTGGAAGAATCTCCCAATCAAATCAAGATTTTGTAGCGTTCCAACGTTGCTTTTTTGCCTTATGTGCCGTATTTGTTTTACTGCAGAAAAACGCCTGAAGTCAACATCCCTGATCGCTTTCAACGAATGGCTGAAACTAAATACCCCACTAAAAAAAAAGGGGGGGGGGGGGGGTTCTCAGCATTGACACCACCTTGCCACAAATTACATGTGACTTTGCACGTTTCCTTAAATTTCTTGAAAACCAGAATGGCTGAAGTCATTAGATTTCATTCATACTTTGAAAGCATGTTTCTCCATGAAAGGCTGGTAAGTTCTCACGATTGTATGAACTTGGAGAAGGAGGGACTGTGGGATGCTAGCATTGTTCTCTTGAGATTCCAATGTATTCTAGAATTGTTTGACTCAAAAGTCATTCTCTAACTAGTCTAATCTTGTCGTGGGTTCTCTAGGTTCACCGATCCCTGTTCGCGATCGGTTGTCACCGTTGATTCCGTCAGAGGTTGGTTCCCGCTGGATCTCTCATTCCCCGAAACCGGTCGTAATAAGGAATTCTTTTGCGATGCGTATGCTTGGCACTTAGGAGAGGAGTTCGGAAGTCCTGAGCAGCACCGACGACGAGATCACGACGGACTCATCGAGCAGCATCGACTCGACGGGGCCTCTGGAACCCCCTGCTGCTGATCCAGCTTCCAAGCCTACGTGTCCCACGGTAACGCGAATCCAGTCTCTCCGCTATCGCGATTTGCTTCCTGTTCGGTAAGTGGACGTGTCGTTTTTAGGCGGGAATCATGGGGTTGATTCCCAACATCACCGAGTTGGGACTGGGCGCGAATCAACGCGAATCGAGGAGCGAAGACGAAGAGGATCTCGTGCAGACCATCTCCGAACGCTTTTCCAATGTCCATTCCGCCTTACCCTGAAACGCGAGGTTCCAGTCTCTCTCTCTCCGCTTCGCCGTCTTCGTTTCAATATCTTTCAATATTTCTCTATGACTGAATCGGTATATGTTTTACTCTATGACGAAAAAAAAAAATTGTTTTTATCATTTCAAATCACAGTGGTTGTTTATTCCATTTTTTGGAGAGATTGTGCCTCGAAATACAGTCGAACTCGGTTATAACGTCATCGAAGGGACCAGGTAAAAACCGTCGTTATAACCGAGGTTCCCTTTATTGGCATTCCGTTTTCCTGTTTTCAAAATTGATGCTATATGTTAACGTTACAACTCCTGTTTACATTGGTCATACTGCACTAGCTTTAGTTTCAAGATTGACCCACTAATCGTGATGTTCGCACTTCTTTGGACCTTGAACTATTAGGTTGTTTCACATGAAATGTCCGATTTTGAAGATGAGATTCGAATGAAGACAAGGTGGTCTTAGTTACTGGGGATTATCCCTCCCTAACATTGCTTCAGCCACACCCACATAACTCTCAAGGAATGCCGAATCCAGGAAATATAAAGTTATGGCTCGCCAACGCTAATTTTTTCCGATGACGGAAATTTCAGTTAAGAATGACGGGTTTGGGACATGAACGTTGTCGGTTTCTTCAGTGGGACCTTCAATGGACTTCGTTATAACCGAGTTCGCTATAACCGAGGTAAAATGTAATGTGCCTTATGGGCTCTACGCCGGGACCTGGCGCTTTCGTCGTTATAACCGAGGTTTCGTTATAACCGAGGTCGTTATAACCGAGTTCGACTGTACATTGCGACTTTCACCGATTTCAAAACTGTAGTTCCAGTTGTAGTTCAGTTGCAGTCACGATTGGAATTTCGTTGTGAGAGCAGTAGATAGTCGTCGAGTGGAACTTCAATTCGACTAATGGAATAGCCGCTGTAACTGGAGCTAGAACCGAACCGAACTGCAACTGAGCTGTCGTTTTGAAATTAGCCTTTGTGTAGAATGTAAAGGCTGGCTTTTTGTTGCTGAAATATTTACCAGAAGAGCATTGGACCTCTCAGCGATGAGAAGCCAGATTCAGATCTTGGGGTTCAGTCCTATGGTACGAGGGTCGCTAATAAAATTTTCAGATTCGCAACTGACATATCGGTTATTCACACCAAAATTTTCAGTTTCTCAAAGATTACTGTATGACTTGGTGTGGAAAATTCCATGCGATGGAACCATTTTTTGAAAACCTGCCCTTTTTCTCTAAGTTATTTCAGAAATTACATCTTGCTATGCGTCTGGCTGTGTTGTGTCGGGGCTGTCAAAACGCACACCGTGATTTTTTTTGTTGTTGGCCAAATGGAAAAGGAAAAAGTGACGGGTTAAGTCCTAAGAATATGGTGGATAGAGCAAGTAAATACAATTTTCTTCCCCAAAATTGGAGAGTTGATGCGGTCGTGCGTGCGCTGGCATCTTGATGAAATCGAAGTCCCCTGGGAAGACCACTCGCCTTTCATCGGCGAGTGGTCCAACTTTGAAATATTAAAGGGTGCAGGTTTGACATACCGATCGGCAGTGACTGTGCACTTCTCAATGACACTCAGTCGCCACGTCATCGCCTTCGTAAAAGTAAGTGGCCATCATTTGCCAACGTTGCGATTTCCCTTCACTTCTTGCTGAGGACCTTCTCCTGAGCAGCACCTAACTACAGATTGGCGTCTTTTTTCGGGGTCAAACTGATAAATCCAGCTTATATCACCAGTTAAGATATGAGAAACCCGCCTGGACCTTCCTCTAGAAATTTTCCAGTGCCTAAACTCTCACCATTCGACTCGGACCTGTTTCCGTAGTTTTGAGAGGTGACGAGGAGTCCAAGAACCAGACAGCTTCCTCCGACACAGATGTTTGTGGACACTCGACGAAATGACGTTGAGTATCGGTATGAATGTGGCTCGATCTTCATCAGGTTTTATTTTTTGTCGTCATTTCTGAGGTCACTGCAGTTGCAGGTCTCCCCGATCGAAGCTCATCTCTGAGAGACACTGTAACGCCTGAATTATGCAAACGAATCGAAGACCATGGCCCTTGATGGGGCAGTGCAAAGCAATAACTGCGCAAAGTTTATCTTCAAGATCCAAACGACATCGAATTTTCTCTCTGGCAAGATTAAGCATTTGGGAGAATTTTCGAAGACCCGAGAGAGACCTGCAGAAACTCCACTTTGATGTCAAGTCCAAAATTTAGTTCGAAACACTCATTTCCAAAAAAAGCGGTGCACCCGCACTAGACCGAATATCGAAGCTGCAGCCGATGAGATGCTCGATCCGATCGTCGTCTTCATTCGGATCGCGGATGAAAACGAACAGCTGCTTCTTTCCGACCAGTCTTTGTCTTTCTGTCTTTGTCAGCTCCTTGGAACAGACGCTCCTGGAGAAAGTGGGAAAAACTCACAAGGAACGTGACAATTTTTCGGTAAAAAAAAGTCTATATAAAATATATGAACTAGTTCTTGAAATTGCACATTTTAATCAATTTAAAAATTGTAAATACCATAACTACATGTCCCCTCGCCTCCATCCCCCCCTCCCTTTAAGGGTCTCCTGTCCCCCCCACCTATGGATCGTAACCCCTGGTTTGGGAACCGCAGGCCCATTCAAGAAGCTTCATTATAATTATCCAGGCTGTCTGAAGGCCCCAGTAGTAATTATTATTATTGTCCCAAATGATGACTCCTCATTCAGTGATGGGAAAAAAAAGACTTCCGTCTGCGACTTCTTTGGCCACTTGAATGACTTGGCCTGCATACGGCAGCACAAAAGTCGGAAAGGAAGCCAGGAGACACTTCTCCGTCCTTCTCTCTGCTTACGTGTGGAAGCAAGATGGAAAAGGGCATGGCACATAGTTATGGACTCAAATACGTATTTATTCACGTTCGGTATACACTACTTTTGCGCTTCTTAGATGTTCATACATACTTAAGTTCAGGCTTTATAGTGCAAATACGACCTATGGAAAATCCTCTTCGTCTGCGAATCGTCGTAGCAAAACACCTTGCTTTTTCGTCTCGAGTACAATGCTCTTCCGTAAAATAACTACTGTTGAATTTGCAGTAATTCCGAAATGCAAAACATCGTAAGACAGTCATGAAATCGAATGACCCCCGATGCACTGCAAAAGAACAGCCGCACGCCGAAAAAGTGTCGAAACGCGATATCCACTGACGGCGCGTCGGTTGCCATCGCGACACGGCTCTCCATTTACCTGTCTCCCGTTTCATTTGGGAACTAAAATGCCAGAACTGGCACCACTGACGGTGTCACCCGAGAGGATCTTTGTAGTTTAGCGGACGATGAAAAAGATCCGGCTGTCCTTGAACGGAGCCAGGCGAATGCCACTAGGGTCTCTGGCTGCATAGCTTTAAGGATCCCCACAGTCGCGGCATCGAATCGAAAAAGAGTTAAAAGGAAGCAGAAACTCCACGTTCCTATCGTTTTCCCAGGGTCAGTGGAATCACCTCGGACGGTCCCCACCGCCGAACACCCTGTCGATGCTTTATTGCAACGGGACGAAGCACCGAAAAATCCTTCGATCGACCGTGACGTTCCCGATCGTATTCCGACTGCCATCACGAATTCCTTTCAACTCGTCGAGGTGAGCTCGATTCCACGTCCATTAAAACCGGATGCTGTGGTACTGTAATCGAAGAATCAAAATTTAAAAAGCAATACACGTTGACTTCTAACACCTAGACTAACAATGTACACCAGTGGTGCACAACCTTTTCCCCCTAGAGGGTCAAATTGAGACTACGTCTCATGTTCGAGGTGTTCGAGGGCCTGCGGCCCTCGAAGATGAACCGAAATCGGTCGCGTATTAATATGGATCTTTAGAGACCGGAGGCAGCCAAAGGGCCGCAAAAAAGGTCTCCGCGGGCCGCGGGTTGTGCATCACTGATGTACACTATTACATTCTTAAGTTAGAAAACTGAAATGTTGAAAACTTAGCTAATAACACCGTCCTTCTGAACAACAATCATTTTGAAATGGGGACTCGCTCAGAAGTTGGTACTTGCTCGTTTGGCTTCCTCCATGGTACACCAATTATTCATCGTGACCTTGCCTGCAAGTAGTTCATCATGTCGCATAAGGAACTGCAATTGATTATTTAATTACAATTGGGTCTAATCGGGACCAGTATGAGTGAAATGGTAAATACAAACACTAGACTTTTAATTTTAAATGCTTGTCCTTCAGAGATGATTTGGAAGAGGCAGCAATGAAAGGGTGTTAGCTACATGCAAACGGGTTGTATGTCCCTATTGGTAAGTAAAGTGAATTCTGATTATTATCTGAAGGAAGAAAAAGTAGGATTGCCTGGGGTGCTTCGGCTCTCGTTTCGTGAAGGAACAGCTTTCACTTGATGCAGGCGATTGAATCCGAAAGAAATTCTCATCGTGTCGGACAGACATCACCATTCTCCAAGCATTACATCTCATATATCAACGTTTTCAGTTAAATTCTCGGAGATATGTATCTAACATATAAAGACAATCGTGACCGACTGACTGAATGAGTGACTGATTCTAACCTTGTTCTAGCTATGATAGAAAGTTGAAACTAGGTAAAAGAATGGCTGTTAGGGTGTTGGTTTAAAAAAATCGAATTCTGGAGATATATACCCTGAGGCCACATTGTTTTGGGAGACCGTTTTCCCTTAAAACTCCTCTCCAAAGAATCGGATCGATTTAGAAAAGCTGAAATCTGGAAAACACCCAGCAGTCCCATTTCATGGAAAGTGTTGCGCATGAGAGTATCATAAAGGACCACATAGACCAATGATTGGGATCCAATTGCACTTTATGGTAAAATTTGCGGGGACAAGGTCCCCCCCCCCCCCCCCCCCGAGTATCGAGTATTAGCTGAAGAGCATATAATTCACCATGGTGGTTTACTGACAGTTCATAAGCTGTCAGAGTCTACGCTGACTCTGCAAAAATCACTCTGAAAAACTTCTCTGTCTTCGTCAAAATAGCGACCAAGCACTCTTGTTCGGTAGCGATTCGTATGATGGGATATTTCTTCCTGGCATTAAGGAAAAAAACGGTCACGCAATTGGGGGTGGGATG